CGAAACATTCCACGAGACACCAACACGAAACTTCCACGGGGGTGCGACTGGGTGTGGTCGTGTTGGTGTGGTGGTCGTGCTGGGGCCACGTGGTCGTGCTGGGGGGGTGGTTGTGCTGCGCGGGGTGGTAGGGAGGGGGGGTGGTCGTGCTGGGAGGGGGTCGTGCTGGGGAGTGGTCGTGCTGGGGCGTGGTCGTGCTGGGGCGTGATCGTGCTGGGGAGTGGTCGTGCTGTGGTGAGGTCGTGCTGGGGTGTGGTCGTGCTGGGGTGTGGTCTTGCTGGGGTGGGGCCGTCCTGGGGTGGGGTCGTGCTGGGGTGGGGTCCTGCTGGGGTGTGGTCGTGCTGGGGTGTGGTCGATGCTGGGGTGGGGGTAGTGCTTGGGTGGGGTCGTGCTGGCGGGTTGTGGTCGTTCTGGGGTGTGATCGTGATGGCCGCCTCTTTTTCCCCCATTGTGCTACCAGTGCTCAGGGTGGGGTCGTGCTGGGGTGGGGTCGTGCGGGGTCCCGTGGTAGTGTGGGGTGTGTCGGGCGTGCTGGGGTGTGTCGAGCTGGGGGGTGGTCGTGCTGGGGGGTGGTCGTGCGGGGGGGTGGTCGTGGATGGGAGGTGTGATGGTGTGATGGGGATTGTGGTCGTGCTGGGGGCGTGGTCGTGCTGGGCTGATCGTGCTGGGGTTGTGGTCGTGCTGTGGTGAGTTCGTGCCATGGGGTTTGTGGTCGTGCTGGGGTGGTGGTCTTGCTGGGGTGGGGCCCGTGTGGGGTGGGTCGTGCTGGGGTGGGGTCCTGCTGGGGTGTGGTCGTGCTTGGGTGTGGTTTCGACTGCTGGGGTGGGGTCGTGCTTGGGTTGGGTCGTGCTGGGGTGTGGTCGTTCTGGGGTGTGGTCGTGCTGGGGTGTGGTCGTGCTAGGGTGGGGTCGTTCTTGGGTGGGGTCGTGCTGGGGTGTGGTCGTTCTGGGGTGTGGTCGTGCTGGGGTGTGGTCGTGCTGGGGCGTGGTCGTGCTGGGGTGGGGTCGTGCTGGGGTGGGGTCGTGCTGGGGTGCTGAGACATCCTTTGAAGTCTGGCCCCCCACGAGGCCACCGCTCGAGACATCCTCCAATTTTGCAAAACCAGCGTTTCGCTCGAGACATCCTCAACAAATTTTGAAAAACAAGCGTTTCGCTCGAGACATCCTCAAATTTTATTTAATCCGCCGGCCTCAAAAACAAGCGTTCTCGATCGAGGGACATCCTCAAATTTTAATTCTCGGGCTCGTTATTTATCAGGGAAAAATTCGCCGGCCTCCTTCGGCCTCGTTATTTATCAGGGAAAAAATTCGCCGGCCTCCTTCAAGCAGGCACCGGGGGACTAGGTTTACCTACTAAAAGAGAACCCTGGGCCGGAGCCCTTTCCGGGAACAAAAGGGATTTCTGCTATTTCCGAACTTATGCAACTTCAAGAATCCAAAACTCCGTTCCCAGCGCCGTTCCGGAGGCCGCGGTCCCTCGTTATTTATCGAGCGAACGCGTTCACCTTGTTTTTTATCGTTTGAAGTCGATGTCGGAAAAAAGTGGACTTCACCTGTGAAATATCGAGGTTTCCTTAAAGGCAGTAAAATTCCAAGAGCACGATCTGCGTGAGGGGTGGCGAAAAATGGCCTTCGTCCTCACAATTGAAATCCGCCGGCCCGGGGGAAGACCAACTAAAAGAGAACCCTGGGCCCAGGCCCTTTCCGGGAAAAAGCTTGGTTCAAACACTTGGCTTTCAAAAGCCTTATCCAGATCAGGACGCGGTTGCACGCCCACCGGGAAGATGCTCATAAATTTTCTCGCGCGTAGGATGGCCCACAATGGGATGCCCTCTTTAAAAAAAAAAACGCCCAAACGCGATCCAGCCCGCCAAATAAAAGAAGGCAACTAATCCCATGTCGCCGCGGGCGCCGACTAGGCGCCAGCAGGAGTTCCGCCGGTAGCGCTAGTACAAGCAAAGGCGAGCAAAGTCCCGGAACAAAACGAAGCAATTCCTACAGAAATCACAAAATGGGGAGATACTCACATATCCTCCCGCGCGCAGGGTATCCCACAGTGGGTTGAAAATTCCGGTGGAGCACCCGAAACATTATCCAGCCCACCCAACACTAGAGGGAAATTGGCCCCACGTCGCCGCGCGCGCCGACCAGGGGCCAGCGGGAGCTTTGCCCCGGGACTCTGCAACCGTCGAAGCCTTCTCGCCCCGACGCGCGAGCGCAGCCCCCCCCATCGCGACGCGACGCGCACGGGGGGCGCGGGCGCAGTCGCCCAAAGAGCTCAGCGCAGCAGGCCGCCGCGGCCGAATGAGGGGGGGGGGGAGGCAGCGGCGGCTGAAGGCGCCCGCCAGTGGCGGCGCCCACCAAAGGTTGCAAGTTAAAAACCACCGCCAGAAGACCTCGCGCTGGGCTATCGCCCTGAAACGCCGCTCGGGGCCCCGCGCGCCGCCGCCGCCAACTCCACCTCCGCCCGCGCGGCGTCGTTTACGACGTTGCTGGGCGATGCCGCCGCTGCGGCGCCGGGCGCGCGCGCCGCGGCCCCTGTGGCCGCGCGCTCCTAGCCCTTGGCGGCCGCCCTCTCCTCGGCGACCGACTCGTAGAACTCCTGGGAGGCCCGCGCCATCGCGTCGAGCGCGCGCCACTTCAGTCGAAGGCCGCCGCGTGGATCCTGAGGGGCTCGTCGTATACCGACGTCTTCGCGCTGCTAAGACCACTCGCGCGGTCGCCAGCTTCGGCCGAGACCCATCCAGCAGCGCCCTTCCTCCACGTTCGCATCCGAACGGATGGGCCCGGCGTTCCTGGTCCAGAACTTGATGGGCGACTCCAAACTTTATCCACTCGACAGTCGCTGGCCCTTCCATGTCGGCGCGAGCCTGGTCGCCCGCGGCAGGGGGCCCTCTGCTTCTCCTTCCATGCGACGCCGGCGAGCCAGGCATGCGCCGGCCCAGGGTAGCGGCTCTTCCCGCGCCAGGACCGTCGCCGCGCAGCCCAAGCGACCCGCCAATTCGCACGCGTGGACGGCGCGGCATTCGACCGTCTCTTTAACCATGGATGCCACCGAGCCGTCCTCGCCTCTGAGTGGCCCACGGCGCACTGGGCGCAGTCGCGCCGGACCAGCCAGCCGCGTCTTGACCCACGAGGCCAAGAAACCGCAAGCGCCGAGTAAGACGACCATGAACAGCGTTGCCTGTCGCCCTCGTTCCCCGGCACCGGTCGCCTCCAGGTTGCCGGCGCAGATGAAATACCCCACTGCCCAGTCGCCCCCCAACCAGCAAAATATCGCCCGCGGCACGGCGCAGAATAGCATTGCCCACCAATGTGGCGCGCTGGACATACTGAAAGTCTCCAACTCCCAAATGCCCGACTCGCCCTCGTGGCTCTTGACAAGCTAGCTGGCGGCAGCTGGTGCTCTCCTGACGTCGGTAACCAATGAGAATGACCTCGCGCTGGTTCTACTGAAACACTCAGGAGGTCCTTTTGCTCCACGGGCTTGACATCCTCTGCCAAGTCCAGCATCGAATCAAATGGTGCACGGCGACCTCGGCCGCGCCGTCGTGGACGAGTCTATTCTTGCCGCTCGCAATCTCCATGACTGCCAAATTTTTGGGGGCATCTGGATTCGTCCACGAAGTGTTCCCAGAGCCGATCGCCGCGGTCTTCCACGCTGCTACAGCTGCCTGCTTCTGGGCGACTCAGTGGGCCGCGCCCCTGTCGAGACGCCGCTGGACCCCGAGCCCCTCGAAGAATTCCTCCTACCGGGGCGTCTCGCGCAGCGTGCCCTCTGCGAGCCCCGTCTCTAACCGCATCATCAGCTCCGCGTCTCGGTCCGCAGCTTCGCGCCGAAGCGCCGCTGGCACGCGGGGGCGGGCAGGCTGCCCCTCGGCGACGCAGCCCGCAGAAGTCGCCGGCGTGGCCGGAACGCTCCGGCGCCCCCGTCCAGCCTTCGCGGGCCCCACTGGCCGCCTCGAGACGCGTCGGCGCTGGCAGAGGCCCCCGCGCGTTCTGCGAAACAACAACCCGCCCAGCGCTTCGCGACCCCTCCAAATAGGTCTCGACCCAGTTCGGGAGCTTCCGATGGTCAGGGCCCCACCAGGCAAATCAGGGGAGGGCCGAATTCCAAGTCAACCAGTTCCTGCAGAAGGGTTCTCTCTTCGGGAGGAGCGTCGCGGGCTGGGGCGTAGGTGCCGGTCCGTCGGGGGCGGTGGGCGGTTTGTTCCGTGCACTGGACGTTAAGCGCGTAGCTGACGAGGCCGCGGCGTGGAATGCCAGCCAAGAGCGCGGCGCTGGCATGCAGTGGTGGCCCGGCGCCGGGGCTTCCCCAGAACAGGGCGCGCGTCGGGCAGGTATTCACCGTTGTCGCGGTCGATGGCGAGCCGTCGGCGGCGGCGTCGAGGCGCCAGCCGTGCCCGATGACAGGCTAGGGCAGTAGACACTGCCATGAGATGATTTCCCGGCGAGCAGCTGGGCGACGGAGCAGACTGCACAGAGGTCAGACCAGATAGAGAGTTCCCAAGACAGGCTGATGAGCAGCAAGTTATAGACGGGCCAAAAGGGCCAGGGCGGCACGTGGGTGGGTGCACTTTGAGCCCCATGCCAGCGGGGCAAGCACAGACGAATGCGGCGCTCTCTCTCCACCCGGCCCCGCTTCACGTTTCAAAACTGGACAGCCCGCCTCGAGGATCCCGAGCGCCAGAGCTGGACCAGAACAAAGATCTACCGAGCCTCTCACGCGGGGCCTGAGGACTGAAGGGGCTCTGTCTCTTTTTTTCTGTATGTGTCGAGCGCGAGCCAGGCTGGGGCAGTAGACACTGCCATGAGATGATTTCCCGGCGAGCAGCTGGGCGACGGAGCAGACTGCACAGAGGTCAGACCAGATAGAGAGTTCCCGAACCCCTAAGGAAGCTCTGGCCGCCACTGACAGAATGGCAGAGGCGGCCGAAAATTAAAAAGGCACTTCGATGCCGAAGCGAGAAAGCACGGAGACACGCTACTTGCTGATCAGGCTAGCCATCGCTTGCTGCGGCGCCTTGAGCACCGCGCGCTTGATTACATTTGCGAGAGCATTGGCATGGGCAGCTGGATATGCAGCCGCGAGCGCAGTGTACTTACATCCTGCAGGGCTCTGGCCGGACAGAATTACATGCTTGTTGGCAGTGCGTGAGCACAGCCCGCGTCTCCCCTGGCACACGCGACATAAATATTCAACAGGGCCAGCATGCCATGAAACGATTATCGTACGCTTTCGCCAAAGAGCACCATACTGGCACTGGTCTAGATCACAACTGCGTGCAGAGGGTAAATGAACGAGCCGAGACAGAGAGTGGGCATACCACATCAAGGAGCTTGCTGGATTCTCCAGCATCACAGGAGTCCCTAGACGACTGCGCAGTCTGATGATGCGGCACGTGAACGCAAAGGAAGCGCTGCCCTGCTGAAGGCGGGCTCTCTCGGAAGTGCTCAACTGATGGAGTCCCGTTGGGTGGTCGCGAGATCTCAGGGGCCTCCTGAGAGCCCGCGACCAGGTGGTGCAGGGCGCCCCTAGAAAAACAGCGGCGACTGCGTGGCTACAAAGCCATCCGACGATGACCTCCTCGAAAGTGGCGTCGAGGTGGTCCTCGAGAGGCCCACGCCTGATGTCGAGTCCCAGACCCGAGAGGCCGAGTCGGCGCACCGCGGCGGTGAAGTGGCCAGAACCGCTGAAAAGCTCTACCACAACGCGCCTGCGACAGAGCGATCCCCGCTGCACAGCCTCCTTGAAACGCCGCTTCAGGTGCTGACGGACGGCGTCGCCCGCAGCACTCACCGCGCCGCAGCTGCGGGCCTCCTCCGAGCCCGCCTGCCGCGCGCCGGGCCGCAGAGCTGCATCGCCTCCACTAGTTGGGAGGGCACCTGGGCGAGGCACCAGTTTCTGAGGAAGCCCATCTCCAGCAGCTCGCAGAAACGCCCTTCCACGAGGTGGCCGAACGCGTACACGCCCTCCGCCCCGTCCTGAAGCTCGCGCAGAAGAGCCGTCTCCTTCGCGTAGCGCCGCATCGACGACATGACGGCCCAGCGGCCTCTGCGGCACACCCGCTCCATCGATCGCCTCTGCGTCAAAAGGTCGTAGCTCACTCCGCCATGCCTCATCCTGAACAAGTGGGGGCGCAGGTGGTTGATGCCCAGGGTCGTTGCCGCAAGAAAGAACAGCAGGTTCAGCTGGCCGAGACTGACTCCCCACAGAGGCGTCGCGACAGGCCCCTTCAGGCGGAGCGCCATGAGGACCGGCACGAGGTACAGGTCGAGATCGAGAGGGATCGACGCGTCGAACGCCCCCGTCATCCCGCCCTGGCCGCGGTCTGCGGGGCGCAGCAGGAGGCCCCAGAACTGGTACGCGGCGCCCGCGCCGATGGACGGCTGCACGATGCTGTCTGGCGTCAGCCTCTGTGCCGGGTGGCGCGCGGTGAGGTACTCCGCCAGGATCGAGTCCAACTGGCCCAACGTGCTCCAGTCCAGGTGGCGGTCCGCACAGTAGCTCACGAACGTGTGTAGCGGCTGCCGGTAAAGGGCTTCTGTGTTCAGTCTCACCGCCTGCTGCTCCAGCAGGCTCATGGCCAACGTGCCGGTGCGCCCGCCCGCGGCTTTGGCAGCCAGGATCGCGCGGTGTCTCGTCAAGGCCGAAGGGGTGCGCGATCCCTGTCGCGGCATCGCCTCCGCCCTCGTGATCAGCACGAGCAGGACAGAGAGGGCGACGCAGCCGCCGGCCAGCCGTCCGAGCATCACTAAGATGACGGTGGCCGCTGAACCAACCCAGCTTCCCACGGCTGAGCGAGTCTGATGGGTTCCTTTCTGAGGCGATCCAGCGTACACAAAGCCTCGAGCCCGTGGCTAACGACAGACAGCACAACTGGTTGAGACATGACCTCAAGAAACTCGAGCGGGCTCTCCCCTTCGTACAAGAAAGAGCCAAGGGCAAGTTGTCGACTAAGGCCACCATGCGCTTGCCGTGACTGCCCAAGTTACGAAGAAGGTGCCGATAAGACGTGACTAAGGCCTCGCCCTCAAGGTAAAGAATATTGGCCCCCAGAGACACCGACTGTGCACTGACGCTCTTCCAGGCTTCTTTGCGTGTAATGTGCCCAGGTACCTCGTCGAGCTCCCAAGGGTCCATGCTGAACCTCAGGGCCTCGGTCTTGTTGTGCTCCACAGGGATGCCCAAGCCCTCACCGTGGACGCCCAAGGTGCCGGCCTCCTGGATGTCCTCTGGATTCTTCAACGCGTGGCTCCCCAAGCTGCCCAGGTGCTCCTCAGAGTGTTCCCCGTTACCGCTGGATCTTGGCATGAGAGGTGGAGAGAGAGAGAGAGAGAGGGCGGATTTTGTCTGTTTTCGCCTGGCCCCTCATCAACGACCAGTTCTCCTGCCTTGAGCGACCGCAGGCGAGCCTGGCGCCCGCCCTCGACCTTGTAGCGCCACCGCTCCGAGCACCGCCCCACTGCAGCACAAGTAGCAGCAGGCGCCCGCCGTCGCATGACGCCGAGGCCAAAGGGAGAGGCGTCGCTGGCCGTCATCACGGTGTGCCACTCTGCAGTCAGGTCGCAGGTCAAAATCGGGAGCAGGTCCCTAATGATAATGAGCTCCTTGATCACTGACGGCCAGAGCTTGCCGTGCCTCGGGCCGAAGGCGCCGACGTAGCCATAGGAGCTGTGCAGCACGGTGAGCACCTCTCTGCGGATCATCGACGTCCACGTGATGTGACCAAGCACCGCGCGGAGCATGTGGCCGGAGCACCATCCACGCCTCAACAAACTGGATATCGCAGAATGGAGTCTCCAAATGTTCCGAGGCTTGATGCGAAGATATCTTCCGCCGCGGAGGCTGAGGCCAAGGAAGTCGGCATCCAGAGCAGCGGGCTCGATCTCGTGCACTGGAAGTCCGCGCCTCCTGAAGGTGCCCACCAGCCTAGTCATAGTCTCATCCACCAAGGACTTGCAGCCGCCGAAGACGAGGATGTTATCGACGTAGGCGGCCACCCCCACAACATTCTTCTCAACCACGTTAACCCCTGGATGGCCATCCTGAGCGGTCTGATCCAGAGAGTGGCCGTCGTCCGACAGCACGGTGCGAGCAGCAGCCTGACAAAGATGCAATGCCCACGAAAAAAACCATAGGAAGCACAATAACCTGGGGCGAGAGAGACACCAACGGGTCGAAGTCGAGGTCCATGAGGCCGAGCTCCTGAAGCACCCCCGCCAAGATCGGCGGCAAGGTGAACATCACCTCCATGCCCTCAGGGAGCCTCATGTGGTAGAAGGCGCACTCCAGGTCGCACGTGGACATGTACATGCCTTCGCTCGGCGCCTCGATCGAACTGAAGGCTGAAGCCGAAGGTAGCCGAGTGCTGGGCGCGTCAAGAAACTTGCAGTTGACGGCCCTCGTGTCGAAAATGATGCGGAGGGCCCCCGTCTTCTTGGGAACGAAGAAGAGGCCGACGGTGTGCGGCTGACCGGAGTCCGCCGCGAAGTTGACCATCTGTCTCTCGTACATCTGAATCAGAAAACGACCGTACGTGCTCACGTCGCGCATCAGGGCGGGATCGCAAAAAGGCCCCTTCGGGCATGCCTCCCTGGCCAGAGCAGCAGCAGCACGCGGATCTCGAAGCATATGACTCCGCCAACCCTCCAGCCAGACCCTATCCACGGGCGGCACCAGCTCGACGATGCCCACTGGGGTCCCACCCGCGGCAGGCCATGCGACTCTGTCGCTGACGTAGGGGGTCGACGTCGCGGCGCCAGTACCGTACAGGTTGGCGCAAGAGAGGAGCTCCCGGAGGGCTCCGTCTTCGGCAGCGCTACCAGACATGAACTCTGACGGCGGGCGCCCAAGCTCGTCGATGCTGTCCGTGATGTGCATGATGGCCTGGCGCTGCCCCTCGTGAGCCGCAGCTGGAGGCGAGGACCGAGAACCATAGAGCGAATTAAGTGCGTTGACGGCTGAGCGAACCCTCTCATCACGATGAAGGCGATACCCAGCGCGCCTAGCCGAGCGGCGACTGCCTGGCGCTGAGGGTGGGCCGGCAGCAGCAGCGGGGGACGGCGGCGGGAAGACGTCGCGGTGTCGGAGACTTCCACGCGTGCCCGGGCCTGCGGCCGAAGCCGCACTCCTGTCCCAGGGAGAGGCCGGCCCAATTGCCCCCCCCTGGTGCTTCTCAGCCATGGCCGTCTGGGGCTGTGCGGCCGCCCCTCCCGCCGTCTCTGCCTCGTCCGCGGCCGCGGCCGCGCCCTCGACCTCGGCCATCGCTGCCGCGCCCGTCGCCAGAGCTGCCGCCGGCTGCGAGGAGCCGTTCCTCACGCGCCTTGCGCCGCTCCTTGGCTATGTTGGCCTCGCGTGCCTTCTCGGCGGCCAGCCAGTCCCTCAGAGCAGGGGCTACGCACACGTTGCCGCCAGCGTCCAGAGCACCCGACACCAGCGCAGCGTCTGAGCCGAACTCCGAAGACGCCGCGAACCTGTCTCGGTACAGTTCCTCCTGCGTCTGGAGGGTCCGCCCGACCAACTCCATGGCCGCAATGTTGGTCACGTGGAGCTGATCGTAGACCACGCCCAGCTCCAGGAGGCGGCAGCACAGCAAGTGGGCGTCGACTCCAGGATCGTCCGCCTCCAGGTACCCCTCCGAAACCCACTTCGTGTGCCTGCCAAGGGGCGTTCCCCCATTGCGGCATATGAAGCTCAGCACCCATAGCAGCGTGCGAGGTCCCTTGAGAGGCCAATCGCCCCATGGCAGTTCGTGAAGGCGAACCGCTGCAGCTCGGAAGTCCACATATCTCACCCCCTGCGCGTCGAAGGCAACCGACTGAATCCGAGCATCGCCTCCTGGAGCGCCAGCGATGGCGGCCAGAGCTGCGGCCACGCCACCAGGACCAGGGCCACCACCTGCCGCAGGCGCGGGGGCGGCGGCAGGCCCAGGGGCCGGCACGGCCACGGCGGCGCCGCCAGGCAAAGGGCACGACAGCTGGAGCTCCTCCTGCCGCAGGCGCAGGTGCGGCCGCCACTGGCACAAGGGCGGCTGCGCCAGCTGGCGCGGCTGCTGGGCCGCCTCCGAGGGCTGCCGCTCGCCCTGCCAGGCCGCCCAGAGCCCCAGGAGCGCCGCCGGCCTCGCCCGCAGCGGGGGCCCCCGCAGGCCCAGCGCCAGCCGGAGCGCCTACCGCGGCCGCGATGTCACGCCCTGCCGTGTTCAGCGCGATCGGCGGCCCAGCGCCCAGCCCAAGAGTGCCTCGAACAGAGGCGGCACCCGTCGCGACTTCTCCAGGAAGAGGGAGACCACGGAATCGATAGACCTGACCCCCAGCTGCGGCGGCAGCCACGGCGCCGGCTGCGGCGCCAGCGGGAATCGCGTACTCCCTGATGTCCGCCCCGTTCTGCATGATGGCCTCCACGTAGGCGTGCCCATCTGGAGTCAAGACCCCTGTCCCGAAGGGCGGCACCGTCTGAAACGCCAGGACCAGGCGCTCGTGCCAGATCCGGCCACCTCCCACGCGATACAGCACCAGGATGAAATCGCCCTCGTCGAGTCCGTCCAGAGCCAAAGGGTGCCCACTGGCCGCCGCGGCGGCTGCAGAGCTGGCCATCACGAGGCACAGGCCCGCGCTCTGACTGCAGCCGCCTGCGCTCTAGCCTCCTCCTCCCCCAAGGAGGGCTGAGGCGGGAGGCCAGCGGTCGGCTGCCAGGAGCCCAGCCACCTCGCGGCCAGGAGCCCCCCAGCAAAGCCAGTCACGCCAGCGAGAGCCACCGCTGACAGCGCCCACCCTGGGGACCCGCCTGGGCAGTCCACGCGCGCCGCCTCCTGGCCAGGGGCGCGCGTGAGGGCCGGAGCGCACGTGCAGGCTGGGCACTCACCGCGGGCTGCCCACAGCAGCGCGGCCTGCCCAGCGCCGTGCACCGCCTCGCCCGCCAACCATGCGGCGAAGGCCATCGAAGTGCCGTCGGCTTGCGCTTTGAGCCCCATGCCAGCGGGGCAGGCCGCAGCGGGGCAGGCACAGACGAATGCGGCGCTCTTCTCACCTGGCTCCGCTTCACGTTCAAAATGGACCAATATATATTATATCTCTATATATATATATTATATATTATATATATATGTATATAGACTTGGGCAAGTTTACTTGCATGGACGGGGGGTGGGGGGGGGACTGAACCTGAAGCAAGCCCAGGGGGGGGCGCGGAAATCACGCAAGTCGAAAGGCACTTGCACGCGAGCATTCGCTTGATGAGGGGCGAGGGGGGGGGGGGTGGGGGGGGGCCAGCGCCGCGCAAGTAAATTTGCCAGAATCCTTTTTTCTCAAGGAGGAGGAGCTCGACATCCCCACTGTGCGCACCACTGGCTGCAGCGTCCTCCGGGGCAACTTCTCGCCCGCTGCAGATCCTTCGGCGCGCCCAGCGGGCTTTCGGACTACCGCTAGCCCTGCGTCGTCGCACCCGGCAGGAAGTAGTCCCATTCGAAACGCGCGACCTCCCGCCACTGATGGAAGCCCGTCTGGGCCCACGCTCAGTCCGGCATGTAGCACTTTCGAAATACCACGATCGGCAGATCTGGCATCTTGAGCCTTGCTCCGCTGGCCCTCGTGCGCCCCAGGTGTGACCGCCAGCCCTCCGTCCACGAAAGCGAGGCGCTGCGGCGGGGGCCAGCTGCGGTCGCGTCAGCGCAGCATCGCCCACACTTTGACGAGGCGAAGCCAGGCCACCCCGCGCTGGTACGGCGCGAACCCGTCGTCCAGGACTGGCCGTTCCAAAGCCCCGGTCAATGCGCTGGGGAAACGTGCTGCCCTTGTCGGCGGTCCATTGTCCACGCCGAGGAGCATCTCCATTGTCGCGACGACCTGCTCCCCTTCTGGCCGAGCGGAGAATCTATTGCTCGAATCGACGCCCGCGACCCGCTCCGTCCAGACCAATGCGCCTACGGTCCGGTTGGCTTGTGTACCATTGCCATCGGCCCACACGGTTCAGCCGCCCTGGCGCGCACGTAGCCGATGAAGTGAACAACGATCGCGACCAGGTAACGGCACCCCGTGCGCGCGCAAGGGCCACCCGCGCACCGTCTCCATGGCTAACACGTGCGACCTCACAATGTTGACGCGCGTGCGGCCCGTGATGCCGTCTTTCGCTCGCTCGGGGCCACCTGCGCCGTATCGAAAGAGGGCGCCCCCATCTCTTCCAGCAGTGCGAACAAGCGAAGTTTCCACCGAAATCACTCCTGAACCTCGAGCCTGTGTCGGTTTTCCGCGGCCGCGCGGCACTTCCGCGCGAAGCGGGCCACCACTATCGCACATGCCCCTGGCCGCGGCGGGGTCTCGGCTGTACATCGGTCGTCCGTTCGGCGGAGGCATGCTGCGGCGCCCTCGAGCATGGCCCGAACGTGGCAGCCGTGGCACGCCGTCAAGCGTTTCAGAACGGGTTCCTCAATCACGGCCAGATCCACGAGTTCCCTAAGTGGCTGCCGCGCCTCATCCACGCGAAGGTCCGCGGACTCCGTCACCTTCACGACTGTCCCCCCGAACTCGGCCTCCTCCGCCTGCAGTGCGACGTGCAGGCTGATGAGGCCGTGCTCGTGCAGCACGTGGCTGACCCACCGCCGCGCGGCATCGAGGGCGCAGGGCCCAGGAGCCAGCCAACCGTTGCCCGAAATCGGCCGAGCGCCGGTGCCTAAATGGCCACAGGCATCGGGCAGAAGGAGAGGATACACATTCGTGTTGGCACACGGGGGCTTGTGTGCTGTGCTTCCCTTGTGTATCCGCGCCGAGCTGACTGACTTCGGAAGACCGCCAGAAACACCCGGGAAAGATGGCGCCGTGAAGCCCCCACAACAGCCGCGAAAGAGATCCAGGGTGCCCTTTTCATGGGCTGCGAGCTATCACTCAGCACGTGGCCCTCCTGGGGCGCACCTCCCTCGAACGGGCGCGCTCGAAATGCAGCAGAGGGGGTCTCCTGGGATGCACCATTGCCTGGGCCAAGGGCACAGGTCTCGAGCAGGCACATACGGAATTCATATGGAGAGGTCCTGTGATACACCATCATCCGAACCTGGGGCGCGCCATCCTCGAGCGGTCAAAGAGGGGATGCGAATCAGGCAACCTAGCTCCGATCTCAGAACTGGCAGATGGAAACCGCTCAATGAGAAATTCTGCCGTGCGTATTGTGTTTGGCATTTCTTAGCACTCTGTAGCGCACCTCTATCGCAGGGACTCACGAAAGGCCTGCAAGAGGCCAAAGTTTCTCACGCCCTGCTCAGCCAAGCACCCCTGTTTGACTCAAGGCGTGGTCCGAGTACGAGGCCACGATTGAGCACGCAGTTTGGTAGGCAGCTGCCGGAGGGGTGAAGGCCCGCCGCCCCCTCTACACCACACACACCTCGCCCTGCGGTGGCTGCCCCCTCGGGGCAGGGTGCCCGTTTCGGCTAGCCTGCCGACAGGGCCGAAACAGCCGCGGACGCGCGCGGACGAGCCGATCGCGGCGACGATCGTGATGGATAATGGTGATGCGGAGCCTACTGTTAGGTCGGGCGAGTCCGTCTACAGGCGGATTTTCGACGACAAACAAAGAACACATAAAAAATGCTAACACAATAGTCCCCCGGCTATTTTTGGACTACTCTTTCAATACTCCTCCTGTTGAAGGACAGGCCGGACCTAAGCCTACTAGGCCACGGAGGACCCGTCAGGGAGGGGGGGGGGCGACGCCGGGGCGGTGGCACGCCTCAGCGTCGTCGGGCACTGGGTTAGGTCGGGCACGTCCCCCTACAGGCGGATTTTGGACGACTACTTAAAAAAACCAAAACATACTATAACAAAACAGTCCACAAAATACTCACGAAATCGTCCCCAGCATTGTTTTACAATTTTCGAATATTCCCCCTGCTGTAGAGAGACAGGCCCGACTTAACACTGGGTGTCGCTCGGGCGTGTGATCGCCCGGGGGCCGGCTCACCCCGTGGGGTCTCTGCTCTTCCTCTGACGCTCGGGAGCTCCGACGACGCGCTCATCTCGCAGCGTAGACCCCCGGCGATCTGGGCCCCTTTTTAGGAAGCAGCTGCTGGGAGGTCTTCGTCGGGAAGATTGAAGGAGGATTAAGCCCCATTGCGGGGCTATTACGCCAGAGTGGGCTTCGGATGAAGCGGGATTCAGCCAAATTAAGCAAGATTACGCGGGATAAGGCCGGCCGGATTCATCGGGATTAAGCCCGATTGAGCCGGATTAAGCCGGATTTCGGACCAGGGCTAAATCGGAATTTCAGCTCCCAGGAGTTGCACCCGAACCTTGGGAACCAATTGTTCATCCTGAGTCGTGCTTGAAAGGTCCCTGGGCTCGGCGATGGCCCCTGAACTCGACCACTGACAAACACAAACTCCCCGTTTGGGAAGCGGTGGGGGAACAGGGAACCGCCAAGCGCTGCTGTTTCCGATCCCATGCAAGGCGACCTGAGCCCCCCCCCATGTGCCCCTTGAGATCCTTCAGCTCGGCGATCTGGCCTTTGGAGCGTCTCCATGGCGACTGGGGAGGCGAGGATTATTGAACCGATGGACTTCGGTATGCCAGGACACCGAAATACATCAGTTCGGTAATCCTCGCCTCCCCAGTCGCCATGGAGACGCTCCAAAGGCCAGGTCTCCGAACTGAAGGATCTCTAGGGAAACCAAAAGGTACCAATACCGCTACTCCCCGGACCTCTACCGGGGTGCGTTCTGACCAGGATATCGAGGCGAATCCAGCGGTGACGACGAGGCCTCCTTTGGAGGCCCAAAAAAGGGAAACGAGGAAAGGGTAGAGGTATGGGTACCTTTTCCTCCTCTGAATCTCAAGGTGCGTACCCCAAGAGACCCCTATAGGAGCCCCTCTCAAGCCGAAGGCCCTCTCCGGTCTTCGCCCCTTCATACGCTCCCAAACGGGCACGGCGCGCGGCTCGCGGCGGGGACCTCGTGCTCAGGGCGCGGCACCCGTGGAGAAGCGCAATCGCTGGCCCAGACATTCAAGGAGCTCGCCGTCGCTCGGACGTCCGTTCCCGGTGCAATTTTCGGTTCCGTGCGCTCTCATTTCCCCCACATCCTAACTGGGGTTCTGATTCCCCACATCCTAAGTGGGGATTTTATTTTCTCTGGACGGCCGCGGGCCACTCACACCCACACCCAGTCACACACTCACACACTCACCCACACACACACACAATCATCATCATGATCATGATCATCATCATCATCATCATCATCATCATCATCATCATCATCATCATCATCATCATCATCATCATCATCATCATCATCCCTCATCCTCATCCTCATCCTCATCCTCCTCCTCCTCATCTCATCATCATTTCATTCTCATCACCATCATCATCATCATCATTCCGCCCATGCTTTCCAGATCCTCCTCATCCTCATCCTCATCCTCACATCCTCATTCCTCATTCTCAATCCTCATCCTTCATCCTCAATCCTCATCCTATCCCTCTCCTCATCCTCATCCTTCATCCCTCATCCTCATCTCATCCTCATCCTCATTCCTTAATCCTATCCTCATCCTATCCTCATCTCATCCTCATCCTCCTCATCTTCCCCTCCTCCTCCGCCTCCTCCTCCTTCCTCCTCCTCCTTCCCTCCTCCTCCCTCATCATCATCATCATCATCATCATCATCATCATCATCATCATCATCATCATCATCATCATCATCATCATCATCCTCTGGCATTCCATGCGAGCCCGCTCGCGCGGAAGGGACCTCCCCTGTGGCCCCTAGGGGGTCCCACCTAAAAGTTGGAATTCCAACCAACGGCTATCGGCACCAGCGAGCCCGCTCACACGAAATGACCCCCAGGGGCATTCCATGCGAGCCTGCTCGCGCGGAAGGGACCTCCCCTGTGGCCCCTAGGGGGTCCCACCTAAAAATTGGAATTCCAACGACTATCGGCAACAGCGAGCCCGCTCGCACGGAATGACCCTCAGGGGCACTCCATGCGA